TTGGAACTGAATGGACTGTCGCTTTGTGTATTACTACATGTTGAGTTTTCATTCCAGGTAGCAAACAGCTGCATCTTTTTTAAAAAAAATAGAAAAGAAATAAGAGAGAGGGAGAGGGAGAAAACTGGAGTGCATGATTTCAAGAGACAAGTTATTACATCTAATTAATTGCTTTCAAAACAAAGAAAAGAAGGAGATAAGGATTGTGAATATTGAACATATTTGTTCTGTATTTTCCAATAGTCAACAGAATAATGAAATTCCTTAACTACTTCTCTTTAACTTGCCCAAGAAAGCTCGGTATGTTGCTAAATCTCTTTTCACTAACACTGCCGAGAAACAACTTTAATCCTTGTTAGAAAATTGCCGAGTCTGCAGCTGACAAAGAGCTCATGCTTGTTCTATTGTTAGTGTTCCCGGACCCTGAGAGTGGAGCCCTTTACAGCTGCATGGATCCAGCCTGGCTCAGCTGTACTATTTAGGAGAGGAGGGTTTGTCAATTTCTATTGACAATAGAGAGAGTTTTTCAGGGCTTGTAGCAGTGCTGAACACAGTTGGGGATCAATGCCAGCCATTCAGCTTGCACCCTCTTTCATTGCTTTGGTTTGTTAATTCAAGACTAAAGGTCCACCGAGGAGGTGTAGGGTGTTTAAGACGGCTGATGAACTGAAAGCGTTTATGGCTCCGGCATGGCAATTTCCATAGGCGGTGGCAACTATTGGCACAGAGGGGGCTGTGTCCTTGTTGACCCTCTTGTTATTAAAAATGCACAAGTGCTGCGCTTCTCAATATTTCAACACTCTTTCATTGTCAATACCACCTTCTGAGCCCTTCAGCTTGTTACTTGCTCTAAAGATCTTCTTAGATTGGGTTTGAAAACTTCACCTTAAACACTAGATTAGACTGATGTTCTGTTTTCCGTGCTCCTGTTGATTTGTTGAACCTTCCCAGGGCTGAAAAGCAAGTAGCAGCTTGATGGGGAGATGGGCTGCTAATATGATTTACCAGTCTACAGTCATGCACAATAAGTGTGAATAAATACAGGGGTCTTGCAGAGTCAACCCTAGCCTTTCCTTTTTCCTCTCTCTTAAAAAAAAAAAAGAACTTCAAAAGAGATATTTCAAGGGAAAATGAAGTGAGTAATTCATGCCCTTACAGGAGCTGACTACACTAGCAAGAGGAGGGGGTAGAACCCATTTTATTTTTAAATGGTTGGTTGTTGTCATGCTCCAGTGTGAAAAAATACAGAGAAGATACACATTCTGTTTTTATTTTATGTCCACCACAGCATCCAAAAATAATGCCACAGGCTTGACATCAGGGGGCATTATAATGCTTTTTTCAATTTTTTTCCCCATCAGGCTCAGAAGAATGTGATTCTAGTATAGGGGATGGAGACTGAAAAAAATGTATTCAAAGACTTTTCCATGCCTGGAGGATAATTTAGGGAAGTTTGATCTCTAGCAAATAGAATGCACTAATATTAAAAGACCTTTCCTTTTTTTAAAAAAAAAAAAAAGCACCAAAAGATTGCCTGCTGCCTGTCAACATCTCTTCGACCTAATGAAGAAATTGCTTTGTTCATGTTGCAGGGGAGGCCAGTGCCCTTCTCTTTTTGTGTCTGCCCCCTTAGCTATTGTGATTTTAGAGGCTCTTAGAAGGGGATGATTTGGCTAAAATTGGGGACGGGGGGGGGAGGCAGAGGGCTGATAAATTTCATCCAGAGTTTGCTCTTTCTTCATCTCTTTAATTTGAATAGCAATTATCCCAGTAAATATTGTTCTCTACATGCTAGCATTATCAAGAGATGTGGGTCCTCTGGTTCATTAGAATTGTGAGAGGCATGAAGTCATCTATTTTGTAGTGATCTTTCATATACTAAGTTGCATCAAAATTCGTGAATTTATTATGGGAACACAACATTCTTCCTAGAATAAACACAGTTAATTGCTTTGTCAATTGCTTTCAGGGTCCTATTATACAAACCCAAGATTGTATTATCTTTAAACCAAGCTGCACATCCCATTTATTGTGGCTTTCCTAGTTCAGTTACTGTATGTTAGTTAGGACAAATGTTCAAATATAAGTTCCAACTACTTATTCTGGATGTCATATAAGAAATAGGCAAATGCTATAATCTTTATCCATATTTTTGTTTAAAAATATGCTAATGCATATTTGCTGAGAATTTTGAGCAAAATTTGTAGGGGTGGGGTGGTTTTTTGTTTTGCTGTCCCACAGGCAGCTATTTTACATTAATAAGAAAGTGAGAGATGTAAAATACTGCTGAAAAAACATTCTGCAGTTAATATTGCATTATTAATATTAAAATAGTGTGCTGATTATTTACAATTAAAACCTTCCACTTTCCACTAGCCATGGACAATGAAGGAAAATGGTAAAATTCAACTAGACTAAATTAAAGGCTGTAAGTTCCCTTCTCCATATTTTTGGTGTTTTGCATATTTGGATGGGAGAGAAACTTGGCCCCATCTTTTTATGTGCACGGGACACATGGCATTTGTATGCTTGGGGTTCTAGTATCTTCATGCAACCCTATTAATTTCCTTTCATAGAATTACAAATTGAAGCACTTGTCACAGTAACTGCGGTTTGCTCATTTGTGCAAGAAGCACCACTTTGGCTCTTGACTAATTGTTTGATGCCCAGTCTCTTTTGCATAACTGGTGAGCTCCCCCTCCTTTACTGAGAGTCTTTCCATTGTGCTCAGCACCAAATCACATGGGTACCTCTGAGGTTAATTTGTCTAAAAGTCTGGTTGATAAGAGAACAGATTGGACCTATCATATTGCATGTAACAATGAACAGATACAAAAGAACAAATGGCAATTAAGAGATTTATCAGGTGAGTGTGAATTTATCACCACAAGTGAATTGACTTAGATGCCATCTGTTAAGCTACATGATACTTATATTAATGTGCCTGACAGGAGTCATTGAATGCCACCTGTTAGCCATGGGTTAAAATTCAGAATTACTTTATTTTTAAAATATATATTTAAAAACATATGAATAAGATTTCAAAAAATATATTTTAAGAAGTTATTATCTTTTTAAAAGCTATTTAAGCATATTTTACTCCAATGGTAACATCGGAAGCAAATAAACTAAAAAAGAATTCTTATTTTGCATATAATCTACCTGATCACACCCATCGCAGCTGCTCTTTATCCAGATAGTATAGTTCTTCATGCTATTTTATTTTTTCATATTTATAAGCTCTTCAACTAATTAATAAAACTGACTATAGATTTATGAAACATCACATTCTGCATAGGTTGTATTAATAGTATGAGAAGCCACATAATATATGACTAATACTAATGTTTAAAACTGAGGTAATTACACTGCTAATTAAGGCACCTGAAAAGAAAAGAATTTTGAGGTTTGATGGTTTATTCATGTCAGAAGCCTCACAATTAAAATAAGACATACTATATGACATAAAGTTTAAAATATAAAATATAAGATTAAAATATGTACAAATTAAACAGATCTTGCCCAGAAACTAGCAACATTGTGTTCTGTTGCGCTGCCTTGAGGTTCTCTCTGATCAGGGAACAAAGGGAGATATACATATGCGTTGTTATCTGCATGTCACCACAATCACAAAGAGCAGAAGCCACCAGATAACTCCATTTGTTTAGAGTGTCTCTGGATCTTGTACCTGTGTGCAATCTAGTCACTGATTTCCATACTTCCCAGCTTTCATCAGACCCAGGTGCCATCTCCTCCACTGGTTCCAGCCAGTGTTGGTTCTTTGTAGCTTTCCATAGATCCACTCTGCTTTCAAATTCTTCAAAGTCTTCCATCTACCTAAGTTGGAGGGGAGGGAAGAAGGGGCCCATGCTAGATTGATTGGAGGTCATGCTAGAACTGACATTAAATCCAGTACACAGCATCATAGTTCTTGACAAAGAAAAATGATGATATAAGTAAAACTCTCTTTGCTGTCAGTGGAGGTCCCAAATCTGTTTACCTGGAATCATGCAGCTTTTCCTAAGTCTCAAAGTAGTAACTTCTGCTAGTTAACAACATCTTCTGTGACATCCTGTCGAATGGTTTCTCCTCTGTGATATCTACTATAAGACCTCATATTTAATACTAACTTTCCCCAGTTATTAATTATCCTTAAAATGTGTCTTTTGATGGCTTATAAAAGCTCATAAGCATAAGCTCAGGTTTTCTCCTAAACATGATTTAGCTTCATATACATCAAAGCTATGTAAATCTGGCAAAACAATTTTCCCCTACTCCATGTCCTAAAACTGGGGGGAAAATGTTGATAGGCACAGTTATGAATAGAGTGGGAGTATGAAGACAACAGCAGTAGTTGATTTTGAGAGGATTTCCTTTCCCTAATTAAATTTACCTTTTTTTCCCTGTAACATCTCTCTCCACCAACTGTTTCAATAGCTATTTCAGAGGAATGTGCATTTAATACTGTTTGATATCACTCCCCACCCCAGATCCATCTAGCCCTAACCCTGCTGTCCTTTAGAAAAGCTTTAAAAACTTAGCTTTTCAAACACACCAGAGGCTCAGGCTATTTGTAATTTTGCTTGAGTGATGGGTGATTGGATTTTATTTTTTTTTGTATTTCCTGAATGACTCAATATTTTAGCACTTAGCTTGTATCTGTATTATGTTTCCAATTCTATACACCTTGAGTCTTTTTGTTTGACTTGCATGTTATAAATCTGTTGCTATTATTATTTTCTGTTTATGGGAGGCAAAGGATAAAAAACTCTTGCACATAAATGGGATGCAACTCTGAACAGTTTTTTGCTAATGCATATCAAGACCAACTGAGGTCCAGTTAACTGATTTCCTAGCAACAACACTTGCTATTTTATTAACAGAAATTAAGGCATTATTGAATTCAAGTGCTGATTTGTAGCTATTTCTAAGTGCTCCATTTACCTCTCATTGTCAATTCTGTACAATTGGACTGGATTTTTTTTTCTTCTTTTTTGCAGCAGTGGTACAGCAGCTCCATGAAAGTCATATGTGTGTGGCTGGCTGACAGATTAGATCTCCAACTTCATATCTACCAGCTGAAGACTCTCATCAAAATAGTAAAGGTAAATATGAGTAGAATGTGATTGCACTGCAGCATTGGAAACAGAAGCAACAGCAACAAATTATTCCTCTTATTATCAAAATCTTTAAACCTTAATGGGGAAGACCTTCCGGGGTAGATAAAATGAGGACCCAGATTGTTGGGGGCAATGTAAATATATATATCTATACATTGCTTACTGGTGTACACCGCTTAGAGAGTGCTTGCACTTAAAGCGGTATATAAGTCTCATAAATAAATAAATAAATTTGAAATTCTGATCACTTCCCCCCCCCATGGTCATATGACTGCATTTTAAGTGCTGATCAACCAGCCTGTATTTACAGATATTTGCAACTGTAAATGTCTTTGCAAGAAACAGGCATTTACTTCTGGATTCCAGCAAAAACTCTGGTTAATGACCGCTATATTCATTTTATGACCACTGCATTAGTGACCATCATGACTTACAACATTAATTATAGGATCAATTACAGTAATAAATCAAGGACTATCTGAAATGTAGACTTAATGCATAGTGCCATTTGTTCCAAGTCTGCAATTATTCTTAGCCAACCATCCAAAAGCCTTCTGAGCAACCAGCCTTGGTCTCCTAAGCTAAAATACTGCAGAACAGAAACTGACTTCAGAAGTCACTTAATAAATTATGTAACTGTATAGTTAAAAGATCATTAGAATCTGTTGAGCTATACATTAAGTAATAGCATGAATGGAGGCTGATGAGCAGATCCCCAGTTTCAAAATAACATGAATGGCAAAACACTTCCGTCTATAATTTCTATCTGTGCTTATATGGGAATAGTGGCATGCAAGGGAATTTAAAATTGGTAGGAAAGTCTTTCATTATTTTATACTAAGCTTTTATTCAATTTGATTTGATGTATGCAAATATTCTACAGAAATTATGGAGAACAGCTTATCTGTCAGCCTGTGATCAGCCTGATCAGATGAAGAATTCATATTGTGTTCATCAAACTGAACTCGTGTTTCAGTTCAGGACTATATTGGAGAATTTGTGCTGAAATGCCTGAGAATTGTGCTGCAGGCAGGAGCTGTGGGTCAACTTGTCATGCCTCTTTTGTCCTGAGGTGGCTTTTGATGTCACAGAAACTTTACAAAACTACATTAATCAAATTGAGGTGATCAGAAAAAAAATATCCTGCATACAAAATAAGCAGCCCAGCAAGTATCTAATGAACATGAAAATACCCAGGATTCAAAAGCTGTAATAAGAAAACTAAAACTTTTAAAGCACTTATTATAACAATGTATATTGTATGTATAACTATTCTTTTTTTTTTTTAAAAAAAAAAAGGCTATTAGTCCAGTACTTCCATGTGCCTGTCTTTTGCTGCATGTAACACTTTATTAATAGCTACAGCCTATAAAGTGACATTTTTATCAATGAACTCACGCCTTTCATTTTTCCTTTTGCAGATAGAACCATTCCCAACATACCTTTATTAAATACAATACTTAATCAACAGGTTATGTCTTATATAACAGTTGCTCTTAATCTTGAGTTTTGTTTTTGTTTGTTTTGCTACAGAAAACCTATCGAGACTTTCGGTTACAGGGTGTGCTGGAAGGAACCCTAAACAGTAAAACCTACAACACAGTTCATAGCCGTCTCACAGTAGAAGAAACCACCGTTTCTGTGTCTAATGGTGGTGGACTGCAAGGCATCACCATGAAAGACAGCGATGAAGAAGAAGGCTGATGTTTTATGTCTCTCCCAAGTGTCTGTTTCATAACTTGTCCTCATGTCTGAATGTATGTTTTGCCTTAATGCCCTGGTATTACAATGTGAGCTCCTCCCATTTGAAGGGAAGAGAAAAATTGACTTCTGAAAAATGACATAAGAAGGGCCAATGGTGAGGAGCAGTGTTCATGCCAAGGAGATTCTGACATCAGTAGATTTTGCATCTTTTACCACGTGGCTTTGCTTTGTACTGTGATAATATGCCAATAAGGAGCCAGAGGCTCGTGATTCATTGCCTTTTGTTTGTATTGTTGCAGTCTCTTGCCATGCCTTCAGTACAGCATGCCCCTGTGCAGAATGCAAACTGCAGACACCACCCAACCCTTTTGGCAGCCGTTCTTAGAAATTCTCCCATTTTGTTGTTCACAGCCAATACTGTGGCACTTCACAAAGAGTGAAACCCTACCTGTATTTTCTATGGTTTGATGCTGCTGCGGTTTTGCTTTCTGAGGAAGTTGTATTTTTGCTCTTTCATTATCAGGTGAAACATTAAAAAATCTTACTCTTGTATCTTAGTGTTTTGATTTGGCTACGTATAAGGGCAGGAGAATGTCAAGGATTCCTGGGAAAGTACACAGAAAATGAAATTTGAAGTGTTGCTTCTTCAAATCTTTGCCTCTTTTTCACAGTGGAAAAAAATATTGTCATCTTGTGGGGTGTCAGGAAGCTTGTCCTGGGTTCTTCTGTGTCTCTGTGGAAACATGCAAGCAATAAGAACCTTCTTGTCATCCATGTCGCCTCTGTATCTAGCCCATATTTGTATAAAACTCTGAAATTAAAAGATGATGATCGTATGTAAAACAATTTGACCTCCTGTGTTAGCAAGGGGATGTATCAAAATTTTATACATACGTGTGATTATCTGCTTTACATAAAGACCAGTCTATAACACATATTCATTTATAAGAATACAAAAATAAATGTCTCCAAACAGAATATATGTGTGGTGTGTGTGTATGTACATGCACACATCTTCAAATCAAATGTATGCATTTTCCCCTATTGACAATTTGAATTGCTCCAAAGACATCAGGAACAGCGTTGCTCAAAGAAGGGCTGTATGGGAAGGAGGGGAGGGAACATTACTTATGTTCCCATTGACCCTTAATTTAGTAGTGAAGTGTTTTACTCCAGTGAATTCCTTGAACAATTCAGAATCTTGGTTGCTTATACCAACCGTTCTTTGCAAAGCAACTTTGCGGCTGTTGTGTAAGGACAAAGGACCAAAGAATTGAAAAGTAGCAAGCTTTCAAGCTGGTTTCATTTTGTTTTGTTTTTAAGCACTCGTATAAATCATGCCGAACATGGGCAAACAAGATGCCCTTGAACAGGACCTGGCTACTTGTAAAAGTGCCACTCATTCCCCAAAGAAATTAAAATACACCTATTTAGGAAGTAAATGGGAGCCCAAGAAATATTCTGTGCAGGCATACTGTCTGCACAAACATCTCTTTACCTCAGTTTAGTTTTTCTATCCCCATGCTTTCTTCTGAAACAAAGTTTACTGTTCTCAGCCATCCCCACTAAAAGGGAAAAAAAAGATCTGCTCTATCTCATGATTCTTTTTGCTTCTTCAGAAACTCCACATCAGCTTGCATTTGTGTGTTGACAAAAGGATAGAACACAGGTTAGAGACACAATCCTAATTTGCCTTAATTTTGCTCAGAATGTAGATGTTACTTTCGGGCAAGGTGGCTTTTTTAGGAGCTAATGAGGATACATTAAAAGAAAAGAACATCCATAGACACTCACTAAACAACTTGATTAAAATTCTGATGTTCAACTTGGAGTTTTTTTTAAAGTTACAAATGCATAAACTGCTTAAATTAATTTGTAGTTTGCTTCAATCCCAGCAGGAAGCATTTCCATCCATGATAGTGACAGCATGTTTATATTTTGTGTATTTGTAAATCATACATTTACAAATACACTCAACTCTACAATTCCTCTCTCCTGCTTTTTATTCCATATTTTTTTTAAAAAAAATCTACGCATTCATTCAAATAGTGTGAGACTCAAAAGGCTTTAGTGTGCTGGTGTAGAGAGGCACCATATGGATAATGGAAGTGGCCTCCCTGTGGAGGCTTCTGAATATACTTTGAATAAACCGTATGCCATTTTAAATGCAGGGAACTGAGCCTGGATCCTGCCCTCATTCACTTACAAAAAAGGCTTAAAACACACATGGATTTTATTTCCTGCAACTTCAGGATAGTATTGCACCAGCTAGGAGAACTGTTTGAATTTTCATCCATTTTAGAATATTCCCTTCTGTTCTACGATCAAGCATAACAATGCAATTTTTGATTTTTAACTGCCTTTATTTTTTTTAATAAATATTCAAGGTAGTGAACATACAATGCCTAATAGTCTTTCCTTCTCCTATTTTCTCCACAACAACCTGTGAGGTGAGTTGGCCTAAGAGAATGACTGGCCCAAGGTCATTGGCTTTTAGGTCTAAGGGAGGGACTAGAACTCACAGTCTCCTAGTTTCTAGCCTGTTACCTTAACCCCTGAAAAGCAAACTGACTCTATGCTAATCAGCTGCTAATGGGTATACAAATTTCAAATGTATTTTTACATATCTTAACATTGCCAAGGTTGGAGAGCTCTGCTTTAAACTAAGAGAGGCACTGTCTCTACATCCAAGGTAACCTTCCAGATACTATCAACATCGCTGCTTTGCACCAAGGGAAGAATTTCTACTCAAGGAAGGCAAAACCACTGAACTACTTTTGTGCCACATTTCTAGAGTCAATCTCACCACCTTCTATGAAGAGTTGAAATATACTTCCCAGATAGTTGACTGCTTTGTATTATCTCTGCTACCAATGGAGCATATTAGGCAGCAGTAGGAAATAAAATATGTAAGAATTATTTTATTATCCAGCTCCAACTGACAAAGTGGGTTAAAGTGGGTAGTCTTGATTCATAATCAAAAAATGGAAAGTGTAGTGGCCAAGCACAACTCCCAGGGGGGCACAATTCACGGCATAGCAACCCCTGTGTTCCAGGAGGGATTTCTGAGTTTGGACAAGAAAGCTCTTAACACTTCCTCCACCAACAGGCATAAACTTTACAAATGCCTGAGGGTAGAGACCACCTGGAAAAGATAGTGCAACTGTCACACCATAGACAGCCCTTTGCTGTCCATTTACATTTATAAAATGGGAGGGAATGGCAGAGGCATATGCACATGGTTTTCTTATAGTTCCACATCCTACTTCAGTATTTATTAGATTTTTTTATCCCGCCTTTATTACTTTTATAAATAACTAAAGATAGCCAACGTGCATAATACTCTTTCCTCCTCCTATTCTCCCCACAACAACGCTGTGAGGCGAATTGGGCTGAGAGAGAGTGACTGGCTCAAAGTCACACAACTGACTTTCATAGCTAACATGGAACTAGAATTCACAGTCTCCTGGTTTCTAGCCTGCTGCCTAAACCACTAAACTAAACCGGCTCTGGGAAAAGTACATGAAAGATATCAAGTAGCAAAGGATTTTGAAGGTAACACATCATTGCCAAGCACTGGTCAGATTGGCTGGTGCTGAAAAGAGCTCAACTGGATTCCAAGGTCCTTGATTTTATCCTACTCTTCCCTATATTCATCCTTGCCAAGGTTGAAAAACATTGATTTAGGTGAAACCCAGGAAAGGCGGGGGGGGGCTTCGTTGTCAGTCATGAAATTATTAACAAAGAGGTGACAGATGTGAAGAGTGGTGGCTCCTTGTGATACACTGAACTATTTTTTAATTTATCTCCCTTTTCTAACCTGAATAAGATATAAAAAGGAAAGGTGGACCGATTAAATAGTTAAAGTTAGATAGAAAGAACGGGATACCCATCCCAAGAGAAGGCAAATGGATGAATTTTAAAACTGCCCCTTCAAAAACAGTTCATTGTCCCTTGCTAGAAAGAAAAGAAAGAAAAGAAAGAAAGAAAAAGAAAGAGAAACAAAGAAAGAGAAACAGAGAAAAAGAGAAAGAGAAAAGAGAAAAGAAAGAAAAGAGAAAGAAAAAGAAAGTGAAAGAAAAAGAGAAAAAGAAAAAAGAAAAAGAGAGAAAGAGAAAGAGTGAAACAGAGAGGAAGGCAGGCAGGCAGGCCAGGGTTAGCACTGCAGCCTTAAGAGCCCTGGGGTTAGTTCAAGTCTGTTTTAATTTCTAGCCCGCAGCGCACCTCATTCAATCTCTCCGCCCTCTTTGATCACCTCCTCCGAGTTCTCTCATCCTAAACCAGTTGCTTTACTGGGCTTGGAAACGCGACTCGTTTAAAGATAAGCCAACCACAAACTAAGGGGAGGATCAGCCAAGTAACTCTCGCTCGCTCTTTCTCTAAAGAAAAGGCTCCGGGCTCCCGAGATGCCCAGAATAGGGCATCTCGTCCGAATGCCGGTTCCTTCCGCCCCTCCGGCATTCAAAGTAGAGGGCCAAACCCCGAGTCCTGGATGCGCACGCCAAGACGCAGCCAGCGTGGGGGTCGCTGGCAAGGCGGCCAGCACTGTCTGACAGACAAGGAGCCCGTCAGCCTCGGCAGGAGCTGAGCCAATCAACACAAAGCCCCAACCAGAGGATAAACCGCGATAAACAAAACCTGCCGGCCAGGCAGTCCCACTCACCCTCAACGAATGGCGCCTTTCACCTGATACAACTGGGGGGGTGGGCGTGGCCAGAAGGCGTGACTAAAAGAGCCAAGCTCTTATCCCCGTCTTGAACATCGACGTGCTGGCTGGGATGATGGGAGTTACTTTGGGCCACATTACGTTGGCCAAAGGCCGCCGAAGACCCGCGACTCGACGGCGCCTTGTCTCCTGTGGCGACCCCTGCTTTGCAGGCTCGCCCGTGGCCGAATGTCTCCCTTCCCACGTGCCAGGCTGGATCAAGCAATAGCGTTAGTATGCTCGATGTTTATACTCGGTCGTAGACCGAATAAAAGGTAATTATCAGGGAATCTTGAGTGCTGTCAGCTTGGTTGTTCGCTTGCAGACGTTTCATTACTCAAGTAGGTGATAGCATCAGTGTTGATGTCGGCTAGTTGGGTATTCTGTTTAAATAGGAAGGTGGCTGCGGGCTTGATATTCGAATCTAGAGTAACTACTATCGAATGTCAGCAAGGTACGATCGAAATCATCAAGATGGCAGCCTTTTTTCACGTTTTTATTAGTTTATCGAAATATAAAATGCAAAGAGAAATTTAAAAAATAGAAAATTAGGAGGAGGAGGGGGAAGAAAAAAAAATGACGGCAGCCTTGAGGGGGTGGGCGAAGCACATACAAAACAGGTGAGCCTCTTGTTCAACTGTTTCCACTTAGACTACCCCAGTGTTTCTCAACCTTGACAATTTTAAGGCATGTGGACTTCAACTCCCAGAATTCCACAGCCAGCAATGCTGGCTGTGGAATTCTGGGAGTTGAAGTCCACATGCCTTAAAATTGTCAAGGTTGAGAAACACTGGACTACCCTGAGAAATCGGGTCCGTATCAAAGCCTTGTAGCCAGGGGTGCCCACGTTGGGCGTTGGAATCGGAACTGGTGGGCGCTGAAGGAGGCAATTCACCAAGTGAGGCCCTGGGTGCTCTTCGCCCTGAGTTGTTTTCGTGCAGGCGTTTCATTACCCGGCTAGGCAACCTCTTCAGTGCTCGGAGCATTAAAACTTCAGCGCTGAAGTACAAAAAGAACCAAGCAGAGATCACCAGGGACTCCACCATTCAATCCTGAGCTCAAAGATGTTCTCTTCTACTGAAATTCACAGAGTGGCACGAACAGGTGGCACCTCCTGGGCACACATACATCTAAAGAAAAGTGCTTCACTGACCATTCCCGCCCCTCGGTGATTTTTTCAATACCTGCAGGACATCCCAACATCTTTGGAAATAAGGCGACACTTGAGGGCGATCCCCTCCTTTTAATAACTTTTTAATACATGTTGTTAAAT